TACTTCCTTAACTCCCCGGCTGACCCTAGCGTCGGCGGCTGATGAGGGCACACGCACCAACCGGCGACGTTCCTCTTGCGGTACACCAGTTTTCATGTCACGCAAATATGGACGAACGTCGTCACCAGGTGCTGTTCCAGGGAAATACGCCCACATGTCCACACTCAAATGTGGACGAACGTCCTTCCATTGTCAAGATACCGCGTGGGCGGGAAAGATGCATCAAGACGCCGGAAGGATTCCTTATACTACAGACGATGGGCACAAAAAGGACGGAGTGAAAATCACGTCCATTGAGGGTGCACGGAAGGCGAACGTCGCCTTTCCACACTCCGGACCCCCTTGCGCGGGGCTTTAGCGTTCATGCCGTGAGACGATAGAAGAACGTCGTTAGCAAGCATTGAGGCAATCTCCGATGTGCGTACAACCACACTTGCAAAGCGTGCTGTTTGGTCAACCCCCGACGAGCGTCGTCTTGCCATCAGAATGAGGTTGCAGGAGGGGCAGCCAGAATCGGCGCCGGGTGTCGCCGACCGGAGATGGACCTTAACACTGGCGCCACGCACTAAATGTGAACAGGGTTTTGGCAGAGGAACGCCCCTGCCCCCAAGCCAAGTGAGGAACAGAGATGAACGTCCGCGCAGACTAGGCGACGGGGAATGTTCCCAGAGCAAAGGGGGAGTTTCCATACAACAAAGGACAAAAGGAAGAAAATAACGAGGCAGAAATCATGAACAATTATGGGGCAAAAAGACGTCTGTATTCTTCGGCACTTACGGCCGGACATTACAATAGCCGGGAAGGAAAAATGTAAATGACATTATACAAAGAAAGGAGACCCCGGGCGGCTGCTGCCCTTGTTCGGCTCCTCCTCCTCTTCCTTAGGCTCGGGGGTCGGCGGCTCTGGAATCTCCCCCCTGGCCTTGGCCTCCTCCCGGCGCTGATCCCTCCTCAGTTTCCCTAGCGCCTGGATTAGGAGATCGTCATCCGTGTTGGCCTCCTCAGACACTCGGCGTGATTCATTTGGTCTCTATCGGGCGGTGGACCTGCAAGAAACAACAAGGATTAGAAGCCGAGCGGGAAGTAGAGTAAGACACTCACCTCGAAGGACAGGACCGCCCGGGCCCCGAGACGAGCGTCGAAGGGTAGAAAAAGTCCAGGAACACGGGCGGTACCTATGCCTGCCCCAGAGAGTGCCTCGAAGGTCAGAAAGCCGGCTATGGGACGGACGCCACCCTCCAACACCTTCTCCGCATCCAAAAGCAGATCGTCGGTCGGCTCCGGTGACTCAATCTTTGGGGGATACCCATTCCACCGGAGAGGGAGAGGAGGCCCGTCGTATCGAAGGAAGAAGAAGCGGTTCTTCCAGTCGTGGATGGACGAGGGGTAGTTCTTGAACAGCCGCCTCCCAGGACGTGCGGCCACGCTCAGATACCCGTCGGCATTCTGAGGAGTGACGCGGTAGAAATAATGGAAGAGCTCCAAAGTGGCATCGACCCCCGCAAGTTTGCAGCGCACCAAGAAGGCCGATATGAATCTGTAAGAATTTGGCATGAATTGCGCCGGAGCCACCTGGAAGCAGTGGAAGAACGCCACGTAAAACGTATGAAGTGGAAACCGCAGCCCGGCTTCAACGGAGTCCAGGTGGAGCATGATCATCCCCGGACGTCTCCTCATCACATGCTCAGCGCCTCTCACACTCCAGACGAACGGTGGAGGAAGGAAGGTACGGATTTTATTGAGGGCCACGCGGGAGAGGACTTGGTCGTGGTCAAGGGCGCTCCTAATCGGGCAGATGTGGCGCTCCATATCTGTGGGGATGCCCAGATCGTACACCTCCATATCAGAACCAGATTCGGCTTCCTCTCCAGAATCATAATCAGCAGGACGCTCATTCAGGGGGATCGCATCGATAACGTCCACTACCTCATCGGCATCCCCACCCCTGCCGCTGCTCCCACTACCTTGGGAAGCACTACCCGGCTCACCATCAGCCCGGATGGTTCCCACCGTCGTGGCCGAACCCGAGTTTCCAGAAACACTAGTTTTGCCCAGGGAGCGTGCGTTCGCATTTTCAGAAGAGGAGCCCGAGGAGGAACCCGACGAACTGGAATCAGAACTTGAGGAGATCTCCATCGAAGTCATTCCGACTAGAAACCGGAGTAAAGAAAAGAAGCAAAGGGGGGAAATTACCTTACAAAGGGGTTAGCCGAATTCAGGAGACTCGAAGAGCTGCGGAAAATCGAGAGCAAGAGAGCGGAAATTGGGAACCCTAATTCAGAGGGGAAACCCAGCATTTATAGGGGAAACACCGATGGAGAAACCAACGAAGGACTGACACGTGGCAAGGGGCGTATTCCGGCCCACGCGCTGTGCGTGGGATGGGAACGTAATGATGACACTTCCTCGGGAAAATGCGCCGCCGCAACATCAGCCGTCACCTCGTTTCCTGAACCGTCAACAGCTGTCAAGCACCAGGACCACGAACGTACGCTTCCACCGGGTGAGATAAGCACAAGTACCAAGATACGGACGTCTGCTTCGGGGAGGTTCATACTTCCTTATGTCCTGCGCATGCTCAGAACATCAGAAGTGGGGGACTTGTGTTGGGTTAAGGGCCCAAGCCGAGGTCCGGCCCACTAACCCATTCTGCCAGACGAACGTCCAGTTAGAGCACTAGGCCAGCCCACAGGCCCATATTCCTTGAGGATGGACGAACGTCTGGTGTTGGGGGGCTCAGGCCCAGCAGCTCATCCCGACGCACGTCTATGCATGGGCAAGGAGCAGAACCACGGGCCACCAAGGATGGCGACGAACGTCCCCAGAGCAAGCCTGTAGTCATCGGAGGAAACCCAGTTCACATGGTGAGTATCTATCAAGGCCAGGAGACGAACAGCCGGTATCATCTGAGGGTCACTTGGAGCAATCCAACTCACTTCCCGGGTGGACGAACGTCCCCACTGATCCGGCGGGAAACCTAGATTCTGGCGGGAAGTGCATTTAATGCTAAAGATTTGGTAGTTGGGACACCAGCGGTCCACAGGCTGCCACGTAGAAGCAGCTACCTGCCCATTGGCGGGTATAAGTAGAAGCATTTATTTCATTGTAAAGGGTTGGCAACTTTCTATTCTTAGCATACTAGCTTCAGCATTCTTACTTGCAGCCTTTCTAAGTGCTTTGTAAGACGAACGGCCGACGTGCCTTTTTAGCAAGTAGATTGTATTTAGGGGAGTTATTACGAAGTAATAATACCTACTTACATTGCCTGCTATCACTTTTGTTTCCTGATCCATCTCATAGTTGTTGGGCTAGATATCTTTATACTTACTCCACTCGAAACCTTTGGGCTTACGTGTTGGGTCCACGGGTTGAAGGAATAAACCTCAACACTTCCTTTTAGGGTTATTCCAAAATGAATGTCTTGTTTCCTTTTTTGGCAAGAAATAATCGTGCCAAATTGAAAGTGGACAACCAATATGGGACAGAGGTAGTATAACATTCTATAAAAGAAATCTTCACCACATGTCATCAAACGATTGATAGTAGAATCACATTTAAAATTGATTGAAATTTGAGAAAATTGCCGTAATATTACTCTGTGAGTTTCAATTTAAAAAAATATGACCTCTCCAGTATTTTTCCAAAAAACTTACGCGCACCACATTCTTCTTCACGTGAGATCGTTTTTCTCCATCCGCGTGAGATCGGTTTTCTCCCCTCCCCTGCACATCAAATCTCACGCACCAAACGGCCGATCTCACCTCCAAATCGCCCCAACCTCGCTGCATAGGAGACCTCCGCCTCAGCCTCGACGCGCCTCAGAACCTCCGCATAGGCCGCCTCCGCCTCGCCGCGCCTCACACTCGCCGCACAGGTGCCCTCCACCTCAGCCTCGCCTCGCCTCGCCTCAGCCTCCTCGAACAGGCCACCTCCGCCTCACATGCCACCTTCGCCCCGCCAGTAACGGCCAGATCTGGGGGATGCTGGTGGCTAGAGTTCAGTTGCAGGTGGTCAGGGTTGAGCTTGGGTGTCCAAGGTGGGCTGGGAAAGGATAGGGGGCTAGGGACTGGGTTGGGATCTGGAGTGTTATAGCTAGGGCTGGGGAGGGGGCTGGGGTGCGGTGGCCGACCGGAGTGGTCGCAGTGGGGGTGGGAGGCACGAGGTAGGGTCTTGTGTAGCTAAAGAGGGCTAGGTGAGGCAGGGGAGGGGGCTTTCTGCTGGGGCGGGTTGTGGAAAGGGGGCTGGGTGAGGCAAGGGATGGGGCTGGGTGAGGCAGAGGGGGCTGGGTGTGGTGGTTGCAGTCATTGACCGGAGTTGGTGGCTGACAGCGGAGGTAATTGGCCGGTGCGGCGGCAGTAATTCAGCGGTGCTGGCGGGTGTCATTGTGACAGTCACTGTGGCAGTAGCCGGGCAGTCAATATGGTGGGAGTCACTGTGACCGGAGTCACTGTGGGGCAGAATCACTATGGCGTCGAAGTCACTGTGGCGGTGGGGCAGTAACTGTGACCGGCGGGGCAGTAATTGTCATCGGCGGGGCAGTCACTGTTACCGCGGGGCAGTCACTGTGGTCGGCAGGGCAGTCACTGTGCTCTCATTTTGGCCGGAGTCATTTTGTCCGAAGTCACTTTGCACTGTAGGGTTAATTGTGATGTTAGTCACATTTTTAGAATTTTAAAAAACAGATTACGGGTTGGTTTGCAACTCCTTTTAAAAAAGCACTTCTCAACTTTTGACTTTAAAAAAACACTTATTTTCCCGAACACTACAACTTTTATTTTTCTCGGCTTCCGCGTCAAAAGTGTTTTTACTTTTTCTATTACACAAAAAGTACTTATTTTACCAAACACTACCCACTTTTACTATTCAAAATCATTTTTTTCTCAAACACTATCAACTTTTATTTAATCACTTCTCCCAATTTCATTAAAAAAAGTACTTTTTTTAAAGGAAGCAAACACACTCTACGTAAAGTAACGATGGAGGCCAGCAGTTAGGGTTTCTTTTGATTCATAGCCGTGCCCATTTTCCAGAGATTCTGAAACGAAAAATTTTCCCTACTCTATCTACAATGGCCAAGAAATCCAAAAAACCTCACGACGATGACAACAATGAAGATCTCCCAAATTCTGATCCAAATCCCAATTCATCTAGCATTTTTGAAACCCTGTTCGGTGAAAACTTGGTAAATGCCGCCACATCATCAATATTTTCAGAAGATAATCCTTTTCGAAGAAAATCCTTTGGCAGCTCTCAACCTAACCAGCAAGCTGAAATAGGGTTAGGGGTTACTGCTTCCAAGGTTAATGATTCGGATTCCAAGAGGAGAAAGAAGGAGAAGAAGGAAAAGAAGGAGAAGAAAGGCAAGGAGAGGGCCGTTTTGAAAGTTGATAACGAAGATGAAGAGCAAGATGGAAATGGATCAGGAGTGAAATTAAAGAACTTTGAGCCTATAAAGCTTGACGATAATGATAATAAAAACAAGAAGAGAAAGAGAGACAATATTGAGGCGGAGTACGAGGTAAAACTATATGGGCTGGACGAGGCAGAGAAGGAAGATCCAGTAAGTGGAAAGGTTGGTGAGAAGCGTAAGAAAATGGACAACCCAGAAGATATGATGGTGTCAAAGAAGGGATTTGATGATGAGAGCAAGCTCTTGAGGACCATATTTGTTGGGAATATTCCTCTGAAGCTTAAGAAGAAGACATTATCGAAGGAATTTTCCCAGTTTGGAGAGATAGAGAGCATTAGATTCCGGTCTGTTCCCATTTCTGATGTAAGTTCCACCAGTCTGTTTTCTCTTTCTTCATTGTCTGCAATTATAAGTTTTTTGGTTTAACAATTTTTCCCTATCTTAGAGCAAAGTTCCAAGGAAGGGCGCTGTAATAATGAAGCAATTGAATGAGAATGCTGACGGGTATGATGGGTGTTCCAATCCCTGTTGTATGTTAATTAATATACTATGATTGTTAATATTTAAAGACAACATTTGCTTTGGGTTCTTGAAAAGTCTGTGGAGTGGTAAAAATATGCTAAAGAAAGTGGTTTTCAAAACTTTTACCTTCAAAAATTAAGTATTATTGTTTCTTTATTTCCTTACCCATATTTATATTTCTTAGATCTATCATGTATATTAAACATATTACAACAACAACAACAACATCCAAGCCTTAATCCCAAAAGATTTCGGGGTCGGCTAACACGAATAGAGAATACTAAAAACAATTTTAATGAGTTCTAATCTACCATTTATTTTTCCGTAGTTATTCACTCCAGGATCCAAACTGTGTAGATGTCTTTGTCTAACATTGCAGTGTACATGCTTACATTGTATATAAAACTGAGGAATCTGCCCAGGCGTCATTGTCACATAACATGACTGTGGTAAGCTGATTTCGCATATAGTTTGCTGATATTTACATTCTTTATTTGATGCTTATTATTCAAATTCTGATTACCAGAGTCAATTGGACGTTTTGTGACTATAGGTAGGAGGAAATCATATTCGGGTGGACAGGGCATGCCCTCCTAGGAAGAAGATGAAGGGAGACAGTGCACCCTTGTATGATAATAAAAGGACCTTGTTTGTGGGCAACCTTCCATTTGATGTTAAGGCGAGTTTTTCTAGTTTGTGAGCATTTATAGTCCCTTACATTTCAATGAATTAAATGTGATTTTTCCACCAGAGGTATTCCAAATAACTTAAGAGCTTGGTTGTTATGGTCTAAATGGATGAATATGTTGGAATCGATTGACTGAATGTGTTGAAATATTTAAAATACTTTCTCTCGACTATCTTTTGTTACATAAGTTTATGAAAACAGCATCTCAATGTGAAGGATGATGTGTCTTTTTCATTGATCTGAGTAAAAAATAACTTACACACTATCCTTTTAAAGGCGATTTAGCCAGTGCAAGGAGTTTAGTTAGTGTTGGGTGAAAAGTCTATCTGATAAGACTGATGGAGGATTAAAAATTCAATGAAACAGACTGTATGTATGTTAACTTTAGTTCAAAGACAAATAGGTGTAGAAATATAGAATTTTGCCTTGTCAATTTTTTTTACCTTGATGAGACAACACTCTTTTAGATATGGGGGACTGGGGGAGTTTAACAATTATTCATTTGCTACACCCGCTGTCTTGGTTAACTATAACGATCCATATGATTATTTCATCTGTTTAATAATTTTAAAAGGATGAAGAGATCTATCAGTTGTTCTGTGGTATTAAAAATCTGGATACAAGTTTGGAAGCTGTTCGCGTAATCAGAGACCCAAATACACTAATGGGAAAGGGTGTTGCGTATGTGGTATTTAAAACAAAGGTATGTTTATCTTCTTCCTCCTCTTGTATTTCAAAAGCCGTTCTAAACATGAGCTAACAGGCCCTATTATTGTGTGATGTGGACTGTAATGACATGAATGTTACCGAACATTGAATGTTATAGAAACATTGAATGTTTCCTTGTCATTCTAACATTTTGGGTTTTGTTTGCCTTGAGTAAACTATATAATCAATCTTATTGACATATTCTCATGAATGCTATAAGCTAGTTTTTACTTTGGTACATGACGGCTTTCCCCTTGTTACTCTTGCACCAATGCTTTTTCATCTTTGATGCATTTTGCTGGTCTCCCAAAATATGGAGTTGGGAGTTCTCATGAATCTTTAGCAGGACGTTTTCACGGCTTAATATGCACTTTAATGAAAGCATGGCAAGTGGCAACTTCCTTAGGGCGTGTTTTGTTGAGGGATTTTGGAGGGAATGATTGATAGTTGTTTTACTATTTATTCTCCATTTGTTAGTTTTAGACATAAAAATGACATAAATACCCTCCATCTAGGTTCTGCATCATATACGTTTTTGGTAATACTTGATATGCATCCATCTATATCATTTAATCGGTTATCGGTTAGTGCATGCCGAGTTCTAAACCTTGCCGAGTAGTTACACACTCAACCAATAAAAAACGCGCCACGCTGTCACTCAAGCGACTTGATTGGGAAGTAATAAGTTCATAGTGAAATGTGAATATTCAAAATACAAATGGGGTATGAGATAAAAAGCCAAATTACAGACTTCATTTAATAAATTATTTTTTGGAGTATTTAATTGTTTGTAAAACTTCAAGATATGTTTGGGGATGTGGAGAAAGGTGTAGATATTTCTCGTCTAGAACCAAATAATAGTTAATACAGGAGTGTAAGAAGTGTAAGAAGATAAGATTGATTAAATGTTGGGATCTTCTTTATTTTCTTTTGCCTTATTACATACTACTGACCCATTATCTTTGGATCGATTCCAGTGTTGTCAATCCAGGATAGTGGGGTGTTGATAGGACAACCAAGAATCCAGAACAAATTACAGAAAGATTAACAAGAAAACAGATGAACACTTTATTGATGAAGATGATCAATTATAGAACAGAAAATTCTGGCCGAAGCCCTCAAATGAGCCGAAGCCCCCCAAAAGAGAGAATAATTGTCAATCTTCCCAGCAAAGACTAAACTGTCAAACAGCCTCCTTGACTTCTCCCAGCTTATTCTATTTATACTAATCTATTACACTTATTATTATTCTTGGTCTATTAGGCCCTAAAAACCTAAGTTATTTAACACGCCTGCTTCAAAAGGGAATGGACAATATGTGATATGGGTCGAGGTGACTTTCGATGCAGAGAGAGATGCAGGTCGCCTATGAGTTGTGATTTGAGGTTGATGCCCTATGAAGGTTCCCTTGCACTTGTAGCTGGGAAGAATTGAATTGCAGAGACTACGGGATTCAAAGGTGGTGCTTAAAATTTCCGAACGTTTCCCATGGATTTAGATGTTTCGTACAATTTTTTCCTACAGTCTTCGGAATTCTTTTTCAATTTTCCTAGACTCGTGAGAACGCGATGGAAAGGGTAGATGCAGCTCGTTGAATCGTATGATCTTAAGAGTAAGATCGCGATTTTAACTACCATGGAAACTACTACTATAATTTCTTGTCCTCCATTAATACCCATTGATCAACATCCCTCATACACTTAACTATTCCGATATCTTAAGTCCTGAGATCATGAAGGCGAGCAAGTTGTAAATATCCCTTTCTCGAGATCAATTTTACATACAACTTCTTGTTCACTTGCCCTCTTGCTTCCTTTACGACTATCTTTGATTTTCTTTTAGTCTTCTTGTACTCAACTTTTTCTACGTTCTCATTGCTCCAAGTTTTGCCCAACTTTTTGTAGCATTTCCTTTTAGTCCTTATTGCTTGTTTTACCTCACTATTCCAAGGTGTGTCATTTTTTGGTGGTAGACATCTTTTTTATTCTCTGATTATCTCTTTCGCCACTTTGTTAATGGCCGACTCCGTTGATAATAACGCATCATCCACTTGTGTGTCATTATACACTCCAACATTTTGTGCGCAAAATTTTGTTGAGGATTTCCCTCGAGCCTCCACGACATTATTTGTGGCTCCACTTGCGCCTTAATCCGCTTTCTCTTCTTACTTTGAAGAGAAAAGATAAAAATAACATAAGAACATAGAAAGATAAAAAAGATAAAAATACAAGAAAAATAGAGAGAAAAGAGAGAAGAGACCAATCGTCTACACAAATATGCGCCCTTCACTTTGCTCTCTCCAAAGCCATACTCTCATCCAACCCATGAAGAAGCATATCAGATCCCTGACATGAAGAAGCACATCAGATCCCTGACATGAAGAAGCACATCGGATCCAACCAATCTCCACTAATTGAACACTTGTAGTACAATCCCCTTACATATTCTTGATGATACTGATATGCCTACGACCTTATGTAATATGCCCTTTCTAGTTAAGGTCCACCAAAGGACTTCTCGAGTTACCCTATAATATGCAGGTCCTTTTTAGTGTCTCTATACTGCTCCATGACTTGTCTAAGAATGTGAATGGTCTCTGATGTTGAGCATCCTAAGCATAAAATCACGTGCTCCCAAAGTTTCATGGTGTCTCATAAGCTTAATCCCTCGATAGTTGACACCTTTTTGTACATCACCCTTATTTTTAAATAGGGGAATAAGAGTACTCTTCCACAATTAATTGACATTTTTTTGTTTCTTCAAATCATGTTCATTTGGAGAAACATGCTAGCCACTCACGGCCTCTCTCTCCAAAATTTCTCTAAGCCTTTATATAATGTCATTTGGACCCGTGCTTTCTTCCGTTCGATCTTGAAGCCTTTTTAACTTTTGTCGTGGATCCTTCTCACAAAATCCTGATTTTCCATACAATCAGGTATAGATTACTCACTGGCCAGGAGGGAAGTCTCCCATAACATAACTGTGGGAGTGACCAGATCTGTGCGAGAAAAAGGAGAGAGATAGAACAAGAAAAGGACAAATGGAAAAAGAAAAAGAAAGAAAGAATGCCACATGGGTTGCCACAGCCCACATGTGCAAGTTCGTACGTGCAAAAAAAAGAATGCTGTTTAAAAGCATGGGTTAAATTGAGTGTTTCTAAAATACGAGGATCTATTTGACTTATTCGACTCTTTTGACATAGTATTAGGTCCCACTTTACAGTTTTTCTTTTTTCCCTAAAATTAATATTTGGCCGGAGTTATCATTGATTTCCCCAGCAACGGGTCCAATCACTCCTCGTGCTTTGACCTCAACAATAAACTAGTTAGATGTCTATTTGCAAGCTGAAAAATTGTCAGGTAAATATATTTAGTTTTATGTGCTTTTGCAGGAGGATGCAAGCGTTGTTTCCAAGAAGCATTTAAAGTTGAGAGATCGGGAACTGAGGCTTTCTCATGCCAAGGCAAACATTACCCCATCTAAGAGAAAGAACTCAAACGACAATAGTAACAATTCTTGTCCAACAAAGTTGAGATCTCCAGGAAGCTACGAAAATAGGACAAGAAATGCCCCCCTCTCTTACCAGGGTATGAAAGCAAGCAAGTCCTTCACTGGCTTTCAAAAGAAGTTAATCCGCCCTAAAACTGGCGAGCAGCCAAAATTCAAACCCAAATTGGACATTTGGAAAACACACACCGAAAGGACAACAAAGAGGCCGGCGGTTGCTGCCAGGAAGGCAAAAGCACTTGATAGTGGTGGTGGTGGTGATGATGGCCCCCTCGGACGAGGCAGAGGTACAAAACGGAAACCTGATTACCGTATCCCTTTGAGTTCTGGTAGGAACACAAAGGTTAGAAAAATTGGATAGGAATTTCATTGTATTATTAATTACTGGTGGTTTGTTGGACTTCTATATGGATGCTAAAATGATAAAAATCTTTATTATCCCACATGTTCTTTCTCAGTATTGTAGTTTAATTAATTATGGGATATTTTTCGATATTTATCCTAAAGGGACATTTTGTGACCGGAATTGGTCGGTCTCGGGCTCGATCCGGTACCAAGGGTCATTATTTTTACCTTTTTGCCTAGTGCTGGACTCGGGCCGGTTCGGGCCCGGTTCGGGCCTGGGCCCGGCCGGGCCTCGGGCCAGGAAAGGGGAGGCCCGAGCCCGAACCGCCGGTTCCGGTTCCGGTTCCGGGCCGGGCCGGGCCAAACCGGCCCACTTAATTTTTTTTTTTTGTTCTCCTATTTAATCCCCTACCCCTCCCCCTCAACCCCAAACCACCCCAAACCACCTCAAATGGCCCAAAATACCTATTCCAACCCAAGACTTAAAAAATTTTTCAAAAAAAAAAAAAAAAAAAAATTAAAATCCGGCCCGGCCCGGGCCCGAACTGGACGGGCCGGTTCACCATATGGAAGGCCCGGGCCCGGAACCGGGAACCACCGGGCCGGTTCGACCCGAACCGCCGGTGGACCGGGCCACCGGGCCGGGCCGGTTGCTACAGTGGCCGGGCCGGGCCGGTTCCGGGTCGGGCCGTCCGGCCCGAGTCCAGGCCTTAATTTTTCCCAATAGGTCCACGAGGGGTGGGGGTGGGGTGGGGTGTTGCTGACCGTTGGATGAGCCTGCCTCCAATAGTCCAATGGCTCAATTTCAAAATATTTCTTACACTTTTCTCTACTCCTAATCTTTTACTATGCACTAGTATTACACCCGTGCGATGCACGGAGGAATATATTGTTCAAATATTATGTTCAACGGGCAATATATAGAAAGCATAAATAAAAAAATGACTAATTTTCTGGCAAAATCTAATAAATTTTTTAAAAATATAATTCTTAACTAAAGTGAATTTTAATGTAAAAATGATAAAATGATTTGGGAATAAAAGAATTCAATTTGAAAATTAAAGAGGAAATTTGATTTTGCACCCCATGACTTGAAAAGCAAATTATTCAAGTCTATTAGTGTCTTTCATTTACACGATTGAAGACTGCAAAAATTCAATAATAATAACAATTTAAAATAAAATAATGCAGTTCTTAATTAAATCCTCCGTATTTAAAAAGCACTTCATTTCAACCCAATGCCAGCCCGCCCAGTCAAATTTATTAATCAGCAAACCTATCCAACCAATTTTCCCCTTGATCTGCAAACCCCAGCCCACTCCCTAAACTATCACTAATTTCTCTAGATGCATCGGTTCATCTTCCACCTCAGTCTCCATACTCTATTTTAGTTCATATACACTTTGTTTATTTTATTTTTAGACTGCTCTTATATTTAGATAGATAGTGAAGGGTATGGAATCTGCTAATTAGGAGCAGCAGTTACAAAAACATTATATTCATTCAATTTAATGCCCTTTATTGGAATTAAATTTTGATAATTTAAAATTAGGAGCAGCGTCAAATTTTGATAATTCAAAAAAATTAGGAGCAGCGTCAAATTTTGATAATTTAAAATTATTTTCCAATTTTATCAAACTGTTTTACGTTTCATCATTTTCTTGGAAAATATACTCCGTATCTGTTAAATTAAAAAAGTTTATAAGCGTATCTAAATTTGAATTTAACTTTATCATAATATTGTTTTCTGGTTTTATCTTAAAATTGTATATTTAAATTTTCTTTTCTACAATAGCTAGTTATTTATACAAATTGAGGCTAAATATTATAAAAGGTGGATAATAAATCATCCTCTGTGGCCTATGCAATTCCCAAAACTCTTGATGACATTATGCACATCAGATACATAGAGTCACAACTGTATTACGGAGTACATTATAAAAAATTTGAGCTAAAAACTTTATCATAACTATTTGTGTGTATGACAACATTCTAAAAACTTTCAGTACTCGAATAAGCTTTATAGTTGATCTATCATGTCTTCTGGAAGTGATGAAACTTTCACTAAAAGAATCAAATCACAAAAGGCCAGATTTCACGTGCAGACAGTTTAAGAAACATTATTTTGAAATATTATACGGTATTTACTTCAATGGGTAGTTCTAATACTCCGTATTAAGTAAATTGATGTGCATCAGTGATGGCCACCAATTCCATCAACCTTGAAATCCTTTAATCACCCATATGTTATTGAATGACTATGTCAGATCTAGGATGCTCAAACTTTCCAACCACATCCTTTAGAGTATGCTAAACTATTTTTTTTTTTTTTTTTTTTTTTTTTTTTTTTTTTTTTTTTTTTTTTTTTTTTTTTTTTTTGGTTACCTCCACGGGCAGAAAGAAGAACTGAGTTTATTAGCTGCTAGGATTCTTTTTGTTCAGATTACAGATTACATCTCTTAGTACCATATATATAGTACACAAGAATACATCAGATGGGCCTAGCCCAATACAGAATATAAAGAACCCAATACTGTATACCATACGGTTCTGCAAATGGGAGCTTAATTCAAGGCATTTTATCAAATCTCCACCTTGACTTGAATCGTCCTTGCTGGTGCATCATTACAATGCCAGATGAACAGACTCCTCCTTTCTGCCTCAGATTTGCCCACCTTGGACAACTAACAGCTTGTGACATTTAGCAAGTCCAAACAATGGCGAAACTTGCTATGTGGAACCGGCTTGGTGAACATGTCAGCAGGATTATCAGCAGTACCAACTTTCATCACTTTAATTCTCTTTTTTTTTTTTTTTTTTTTTTTTTTTTTTTTAATACCCGGTATTCAAACCAAAAAAACCGTTTACTGAAAACGGTTCAGTAATGCAAACCGTTTACGAAGTATAGTATGCTAAACTATACTTCGTAGTATGCAAACAAACCGAGCTGAAGATTTTCATCAATATGGTCTGGCTGTTGAAGAGTAGAAAATGAAAAAAGACATACGACTTCATACCACTCAAGTCTCAAGTCGTCCTTGATTATTTTGAATTTCGTCTTCTTGTTTATGAAGCTAGGCGAGAATCATATGGTTGAACCTTGTAGACTGGCTTTTGATCTGTACATGACTTACTTATATAGAATTGAAGCCTCAAAAGAGAGACACTATATTAATTACCGCTGTCGTGCTGCACCATGTGAATATGGAGCAATGAAACGTCATATTCTTAATTGGTCTCCATAATTAATGTTTGATACGGCTGGCGCTATTCTTCTTTAATATAATTGAGAGAATCAATATATGTTGATCATTAAAGAAACCGTCTGTTCAACAATACATGGCCTCGGTGCACTAAACACTAATAATTTACACGTCTCCCTAATTGCATGAATACCTTTTGTTGGAATATATATTCGTCTAAATTGCAATACACCGTTTCTCACCACAATTTTGGGCGGGAACTTACTCAGCAAGTTTCCTTTTGCTATTATATATAGATAGATTATTCTCTCTACTACATTCTTCAATTTACATTTGTATTTGGTATGTTCATATATACAAATATTCATACATATAAAAGTATTAAATACTAGTATAAAAGTATTACATATAGTTATATATATTTACATAATTACAATATACTATTGTAATACTTATTATACTATATATATTATATTATTTTGAGTTATATAAATATACACGGAGTATTACATAATTAAAATATTGAATACAATTTTACTAGTCACATTTATACTACCTCAGTTCTTTATTAAGTCTCCTTAGGCTTTGTCACCGGTAGTCCTGAACTTGGGCCGGGTGGCCCGACCCGGAACCGACCCGGGACTGGTACTATGCTGAACCGGCCTAGCCTGGCCCGGGTAGGCCCGGCCTGGGGGTGTCCAGTGTGGGCTCGGGTCACCCAAAAGCCGAACCGGCCCGATTCCGGGCTTCTTAATTTCAATTTTTTTTTTCAATTTTTTTTTTAACTTTTCAGGTTGGGCTGGGTATTTTGGGCCATTTGGGGTGGTTTGGGGGGGGGGGGTTGGGGGGGGGGGGTTAATTAGGAAAAGGAAAAAAAAATTGACCCGAGGCCCGGCCCGGACCGGACCCGGGCCGGTCCCGGGCCCACCTATTCAGAACTGGCTGCGCGCTTGGGCCTAGGCCCTGCCCGGACTTGGCCCGGCCCGAATCCAGCCCTAGTCACAGGTTTTAAGGAGAAAATAATAGGGGTAATGTAAAGGGTGTTGTGATTTGTGTTTTAATGATAAAGTAGGAAAGAGAAATGAGTAATTGTAATAAAAGTAGGGGTAAAAAGGTACTCCTTCCGTCCTATTGTTGAGACGGAAAAGAGTATTTTGTTTTTTTTAAAAAGTAAAATTATGTGATTGATAATGAGTTGATAAAATGAGAATAAAGTATGAATGAATTAGAATCACATAAATGTTACCAAATATGATATGAGACAATAATAGGGAGACATCCAAAAATAGAAAAATGGGACAATTATAGGCGGATGGAGGGAGTATTTTGATTGAAAAAACTTACGAAAAAGGAAAGAGAAACAAATAATTGAAAACGTCCCAAAAAACAATACAAGATAGTTAATAAAGAATGGATGGAGTATTATTTAAATACATTTAAGCAGTCACATTTTTTATTTATGTACTTGCAATTTAAGTATTGTTTTGTTACTGGTCACTTTATTGCATTATACTGGTGACATTGTTTAAATTGATTTAAAAAAAGTAGTCACATTTTCATTTAAATATTAATCACATATTAAACTTTTTAAATCAACAATATAAAATCTTGAGTTTTTTTCCTAATTAATGCTGAAAAAATAATTATTTACCAAACTATTTACAAAAGTATTGCTCTTTTAAACTATGGTCTACAGGATTACGTACCCGCGTGAGAAGAGGAACGAAGCAAATGCGCAGGAGAGATGGTTAAGTGGGGCCCAAATTAAAAAAATTCTCCTTTTACTTTAAACTACTATAATATTTATATTTTTACTCCAAATTTTATAAAAATATATCCATTTTTATAACTTTTTATGAAATTTCATACGACACCAATATTGTATATGTAAAATTTAAAAAACAAGTTAAAAAGCAAGTTACAACAATGTCATGCCAATAAATCTAATTCTTTTTTTTTTTTGACAGCAACAACT